ATTTTCAGTTATGTCACAGTAATAATCACCTTAAATATGTTTCACAGTAGTCAGAATTCTTACACTAAGATTGGTTCCATAGCTATTGCATGTTAAATTACAAAACAGTGGGACCTAACATAGCATTTACCAGAAGATCATTTATCAAAGAAGGTACATAAGAAGCCCCTGTTGCTCTTACTAAAATGCAGATCCTGCGTGGGCAGGCAACCTAGCTTAAGATGTCCATGTGCAGTATCAGAGTTCAAGGGTTCAATACTCCAGCTGCTGACTCCAGCTTCCTATTACTCCAGACTCTAGGAGGTGGTAGGGATGGCTCAACTATGCTGCCAAATAAGCAGGCATTTTGGGTTGCATTCTGGATTTCCAGCTCTGGCTCAAGTCCAGCACTGTTCACTGTGGGTATTTGGGGAAGGAACAAGCAGCTGTTTTTCTGTCTCATTCTCCTTATCTCTCGTTGCTTTCTCTCTCATCCATCTTTTCTCTTAAACAAGGGAAAAAATCAGTTAAGAAGTAGATGCCCAGAGCAGTGGCCTAGAGACTAAAGTCCTAGCCTTGAATACACCAGGATCCCATATGGGTACCGGTTTTAATCCCGGCAGCCTCACTTCCTATTCAGTTCTCTGCTTGTGGCCTGGTAAAGCAGTGGAGGACAGCCCAAAGGCTTGGGTTCCTGCATCCACACAGGAGATCAGAAGAGCTCCAGGCTCCTGGCTTCGGCTCAGCTCACCTCTAACCATTGCAGTCAACTGGGGAGTGAATCATTGGACCAAAGAGTTTCTTCTCTCTCCTCCTCCTCCTCTCTGTATATCTGATTTTGCAATAAAAATAAATATCTCTTTAAAAAAAAAAAAAGGTAGATGCCAATTCAGAAGAAGCTGGAGGTACTGCGTTTCTAATAGACTTCCAGAACGCCATTCTGCCAATGCATGAATGCCAAGGCAGGAGAAGAGGAACAGTGAGAATGATGCAGCCTAAGAAATTATAACGCCTCAAACAGGGTCTAGCACAAACTCCAGCAAATGGGAAATCCAGATCTCCACTTCAATCTTCAAATATAAAAAACGAATAATAATTTAATGTACTATCAATTTAATTTAAAAGAATAAACATCCAATCCATGTTTGCAAAGTTGATACTCATACATCTGCTGAACAACCTATTACCCATATCAAACATACATAAAGCTTGTTTTTTTTTTCATTCCTATTATTTTGAATGTTTTGGGAGTAAACAAGAACATTCACTGAAAAGTTAGAGAAAGAAAGTTTCCAGTTATTCCAATATTTACCACATAGCTATTATCTTCTAAGTACTAGTTTGAGGTCCTTTTTGATTATTTATGTTGTTTTTTCTTTTAATTGTTACCTTTGGGAAGACTTCTTTCGTAACTTGGGAAAATTATTACTTGGCAACAAGATATAAATGACATCATGTGAAGCAAATTCATCTGCCCTGATACTAAGGAAATATCGCAACATCAGCTCATTTGGATCTTCTTTCTTTTCAGTTCATTCCCAGTCAAGAGTATTCCTTCTCTTGGCTTGGCATATTGTATAATGATAGTTTCTGAAATACTTTACAATATACAAAAGGTCTAGCTTCTTCAATGCTTTTTCAGCCTTTTTATATTCTCATTGTGCCTGTTGCTACCTGCATACACTTCTCCTCCACACGGGTTCTTCAGTATACAAAGCAAAAACCTGTACTTTGTTCCAAGCTAACATTAACCAGTTATCTAATAAACAGAAAGATGAGCTGAGTCAGTGCGTTTATTTCATGTAAGTGTAAAAACAGCTGTGTTTCCTAGATCAGTGTAAGATCTGTTGTACCAGTTTTCCACTGCTGCTGTAACAAGTTTCCCAAAGTTCAGCTGCTTAACTGAAACAAATTTTTCTTGCACAATTCTGGAGGTCAGCTGTCCCACCTCAGTCTCCCTGTGCTGAAAGCAAGGTGTCAGCAGGGCCATGTGCTGGGAATTGTTGGGGAAAATTCTTTCCCTTGGCCACGCCTTCTTCCAGCTGCCATGCACATTCCATGGCTACCCAGCCTCCTGCACGGTCAAAGCCAGCAATGGGTGTGTGTGACTTGCTTCTTCGGTCACGTGTTCCTTCAACTGACACTGTTACTCTGTTTCCTGACTCCATTATTATTTTTTTTTAAGCTGTATTGGCCAGAGGTCCACCCCAGTGATGACAGTGGATTCAAGTGGGTGAACAATACAATAAGGTCTGCGCTCTCAACTCAGTCTGTGACCTCAGTTTCCCTGAGGCTCTGATTCTCCTGTGATGACACTCTTATTCAGAAAGAGAGGGACGACAGCTGGAAGGGCCGCTGCTGCTCCCAGTCCTGGTGGCCTAAATTTCCCAAAGCGTGTTGTGGTAAAGTGATGCCATAGAATACACAGTCCAACTGTCACCTGGATAAATACCCTGACTCGCAGCTGTCTGTGATCCAAATCACTTAGCAAGAAGTCCTTCTTGTTAAAATCTTGAAAAGTGAAATACCCTCCTAAGATGGCTCCAAAGAACATCAAATCATTATAGGTATCTAATCCAGGGGTAATATTGCTTACTTCGTTTTTTTTTCTTTTATTATGCACACAAAATAGAGGTAAATTATAGTAGCCTAGTTTTTTTCATGCCATAATGGAAGATTGACAAGTAGGTTGTTTTAACAGCTGTACAACACTTAAGCGCTAAGGACTATAAATCTCTAATAAAAAGGGAAACACTTAACATGAGTGCTTTTATGATGTACTTTCTCGCGGGAGCTCTTCGGTAAAGGTACTGACTATATTTCACTCAGGAATCACAGAGTATAAAAAACAAGTTGGAAGACTGACTAAATGTTCTATAGAAACTGAATCTAAATATGAAGCAACGTGGAAGTTTCTAATTTGAATTTATAGTTTGAGTTCCAAAATACACACAAAAAAGTACATTTATGATGAACGACAAGTTTATTTAAAACAGGTAAACCCAGTCCTCAACACTGATATATAAATCATTTGGCAGCATACCAAGAACGGACTCCACTATGGTTCTGTGCCACACAGAGGTTATGAGATACATTATTTCTTGCAAGTCTTGTTCTGTAACGCAGCGAGCAACGAGCAACGCAACATGAGAAGCTGTCTCTCCTGGGTTAACCGACACCCTCAGTTTCTCTCTCTGCCCCACTTGTGGTCCATGAAAACAGCATTTCAGACTAGGGCCCACCTGAGCACTATGCATTCTACACGGCTCGGATAGAGTCCCCTTCTGCACTTTAGCTAGGTACTGCTGCTTTACTACTCAGCTGAGCCAACTCTAAGACACATTTGACTTGGGAACAGGACAAGGCCGTGAGTCCAAGAGGAGTTCTGCTCACCTAGAAGTCCTTAAAAAAAATCTATGTACGTGTTTTTCAATAATATCTAAACATCTCTAACACATTTAAACACCGCAAAACTTAACACCATTTTTGGTACTCCGTATTTGCTCTATTTGTTTTACATCCATGTTTATCAGAACCTCAGGGCTGCAGACTTAGCTCATTCAACCCATGAAAAGTATCTACTACAGGATACAACTGGCAAAAGCAATCATTACTGACAAACCAATCAGCCCACTAGGACTTTGGAAACTTCCCCAAGTTCCTTTCTTGGTCAAATATTAAGACAATTCCAGTAACAGTCATCTGTTTCCTGAATGTTAAAAAGGACAGAAAAACACAGCTCAGTCTGTTGGGTGATTAGCCCTGGGATGAATGAAGAGGCACAAAGGACAACTGGCAGGTGTCAGCCAAGGTCACAGACGGACTGAGTCTGAAGGAAGAACCGGAAGTTGAGGATCTGAAAACACCACTGTGCCTCTCCTACATCCGGGGAAGTCTCTTGCACCTAAGCCTATGTGCATCACTTGGAGGATGCTGCGGAACAGAACTCGAGTCTCTTTCTGCAAAGGCCTAATCTGGTGCAAAACACAGGTATTTCTAAAACCACCCGACTGCATTTCTTTGAGACATCCTAAGCTTTTAGCAGTTTCCTCAGTCAGGCCTCCAGCCGCCTTCCTGGAAACGCAGGCTCAGTAACAGGCATGTTTCCTGGTGTAGTCGCCCCTGTGTTATCAACCTTGAACAGAGCATTTCAGGAACTGCTTTGACATTTTCTCTGAGACCCTCAGAATGCATTTAATTCTTTGATTTCAACCCTTTGACTAGAGAAGGCAGTCCTTGAATGTGTATGCATGCGTGACAACCTTATCCACCTTGTCACCCAGAAGTTCCTTAGTCCACGCTAACACTGGGCCTAAGGCTCATGTCAATTCTCGATGGATGCCATTTTAGTAGAAATTAAAAAAAAAAAAAACAGTAATAATAACCTGAACTTGTCAAACTACCATGTTGCAGGGGAAGAACAGCTGCTTATGCAAACCACCACATGGGAACAGAGATGGGAAGGTGCAGTCACACTGGGGATGCATTTTGATACTCTCCCCTAACATTACTGGGGAAATTCCTGACGATGGGCCAAGAACAGATGTAAAGAGGACAACTTTATTAGGCTGGGAAGACTGGGCGCCCTCAGGTGAAGCTCCAAGTAAACACCCTGTTTCCTTTCTCCCCTGCAGGTGTATCCCACAGTGCGTGCTCCGAAAAGCATCTTGAGGTGAAGGGGTCTGAGGCCACTCAGGAGCAAGCTCCTCAGGATGCTTTATTGAACAATCTTCCTGTGTCAATCCTTACACACAGGCGCACATCCCCCTCCAAAGAGCCCACCGCTAGGCTGTGCCCCACCTCTGTGCATCCCCCAGCTGGCAGGTGGCGGAGGCTGTCGCACCAGGCGCCAGTGAGGGGCAGCCAGGCCTCGACCCGCAGTCCACAGGAGAGAGGTGAGCACAGAGGTGGGCGCTGGAGTCGAGCGCGCGCGCGCGCGTGTGCAGGTGCCCGCGCACCCACCCACGCACGCTGGGCACGGGCTGCTGGGCTGACAGGAAAAGGGGAGGGGTCGGCCTTACCAGATCAATGAACGTCAGGAATTTCCAGCTCCCGCCGTAGGTCTGATGCGAGGGCATTTCAATGGCCTTGTAGTTGCACAGGATAGAGCAGTAGGACAGCAGAATGGCCACCCGCAGCACCTGGCAAGGGACAAGCGCCATGTTCGCCAGAGGCCTGGGCTTGACTGGGCCGCGAGGAGGGCGGGCTGGCGGCGCCGGGCGCGCGGGGAGGCGGGCACCGTGGGAAGGCCGGCGCGGGGCGGGGGCTGCGGCCGGGCGCGCGCCCCTGGGGACCGGCGCGGCCACGAGCGCGGGGACGACCTGCGGGGGCCGGGCGCTGTTTGCGGGGCCGCGGGCCGCGGCGGGGCGGGCGGCGTGACGTCATGACCGTCGTCACCCGCTTCGGCTGCGGCGGCGTCCGTCCGCGGGGTCCCCGGAGACCCGGCCGAGGGGAGGCGTCCCGGAGCGGCCCGCGAGGGGGCGGGCGGTCTCCCAGCTGCTTCCCCCCGGCTCGGGGAGTGCGCGCGGAGCTCGGGGAGCCGCAGCCGGCGGCGTCCGCCCGGGGCCGGGATGCCTGGCCCGAGGCGCGGACGCGCAGCCCGGGGTGCCGGACTGAGGACCGGCGCTGAAGGCGGGGAGGCCACGGACGCGGATCCAGCTCCCCGCCGCGAGCCCGTGGAGGGGGTCGCGGCTGACCAAGCTGAGTGGCGGGTGGGAACGGGTATGTGGGCTGTCCTCTTTTTAATTGTTTTTCTTTTCATTTTTAATTTTTTGTTGTTTTGTGGGTAGTGAGGAGTTGGTTGGGTTTTTTTTTTTTTTTGCGCTGATGTTTGAACACTTCCTAATAAATTCTAATAAATTCTACTTTGAAGGAGCCTGTGGTGTTCCACCAGAGCGTGTGAACTTAGAATATGAAGTGTGGATACGAGCCTTACCAGTACAAAAAGAGAGGACTGTCAGATAATTTTGCCGCTGTAGATCGTATTGAACTTAGATGGTTCTGAAGTTCTGTGTCAAACCCCTCTCCCGCGTGTGTCATTTAAGATTTGTTCATTTACTTATTTTGCGCACACGACAGTATCAGGGTTTAATGGCAGGAAAAGAAATGTAAACTGTAGGCTTTCTGCCTTCCAGTTACTGTTGTCACCCTGAAGTTACATCAGTCTGTGGGCAGTGTTTGTTTTATATAAATCATGATCACATTTCAGCCAACCAGATGCGGGGTCTAGTTATGAAAGGACCTCCTAGGTATTTCCTGTGGCTCCATTTAAAACAGGTGTCCTCTACAAATAGACTCGGAGTCAGAGGAGTGGCAGGGAAAGCATCGGGTTAGAGGTAAAGAGAAATTGCAAACCATGAACGTCTTCCTGAATGTTTCCCAACAAGATCTAAGCCTGAAAGAAACTGAATTTTTTTTTTCAATTGACATTGCAATGGTATTAACAAATTGGTTTCATTAGAGGATTCTGCTCCTAATGCCAGATAATGTATAGCCACATCTCCCCGTAAAAGTTGAGTCTGTATTTTGTGTGCCACCTAGCTACATATTCATTAGCTTACAAATATTTAGTGAGGAAGGATGACCTAGGGGAGAGCTAGCTAATTTAAGGCCTTGGTCAGTTACCATGGGCCATGGTAACACTGCAGTTTCCTATGTTGTTCCTATGTTATATTTTTATAAAGTTACTCATCAGGCTCTCTGTGCCTTTGAAACAGAATTTTCTATAAAGCTGTTTAAATGTATTTGTGCTCAGTTTTTTTTTTTTTTTTTTTTTAAGCAAATACTTGTAGCACTACAAGGAGTGTTTTGGCCCTGTTCTAATTAGTATGCTTTGGTGGTTTTATGATTCTCTAACTGTATAGTTTTGTGTTCCAAAAGACAAAGAAAATGGAAGGTAGGCCTTTAGCCTGGAGACTGAGATGCCTGGGTCCCGAAGCACAGAGGGCCCAGTGCCTGCTCGGGCTCAGCACTCCGCCAGTGCCCTCGTCGGGCAGTTCTGGGAAGGCGGCAGTGGTGGCTGAATTAACTGGGTTCCTGCCACCTGCATGGGAGACCTGGACCAAGTTCCTAGCTCCTAACCTTGGCTAGGGCTGAGGTCTGACTGTCTCAGACATTTAGGGAATGAACTAGCTGTTGGGGGAACGCTCTCCCCCACCCCTCACTCAACCTCTCTGCCTCTCAGGTAAATAAAATTTTAGGAAAAAACATGAGGCATTTGTATAAACTTTGTTGCAAACAATTTAGGAAAATGTCACTGTACACTTTCTGGAATTTCTAGATCATCATTAAGCTAAATTTGTTCACTTTGTTTTTTAAACCATATCTAAAAATCTCATGTTTTACAGATAGTCTTAGTGAACAAGTGTATTAATGGCCCCAGAGATTGTATTTTTACAATGTAAATAACACAGTGGGAGTATTGATATTAAAATTTCACTTTAAAGGTTATTTCTTTAATGAACCCCAATACAATATACTCTTCTGAGTATTTACAGTGATTCCAAATTGGGTTTAGACACTACTAATTTTGGTTGTACAAAAGAAATATCCACACAGCACTTTTGCAACTTTGCCATCAGCTACATAATTAGTGGAGGAAAAAAAGCTTTATTCAGTGAAGTTTCATGGAAACCAGTCAACAGAAGAAACACTGAGGAAATACTACAAGACCCTGTTTTGATTCCTACTTTCTTTGGTTGTTGACGCTTTCTCTTGAACTCTATATTATTTGAAGATATCCTTCTTTAAGAACTTCTAAAATGTTATATTGAATCTCCAGTCTGTTTGTTTGTTTGTTTAGAGGGATGCTGTCTGACATTGGTAATGATCAAAAATTTGTATTTTGGAAATGATGGGACTCCCATATCTTATTTGTTGTACTTATCTATTTAGATAAGTAATTTTTCCACTTTGTATGTCCCTCTGAGAAGCTTGAAAACAGAAAAAGTCTTCTCAGTATCACAGCAAAGTCATCCTAACATTGTTTATGTTTTCTGCATGACAACAGTAGCATACTCATAAAGCTAAAATAGTAAAGTTTTATAAGTTAAACATTACCCCCACTCCCATCACCCTGAGAAAATACTAAATATTTAGCATATTTCTAGCAGTCCTTTTATAATATGTTATACAATTTGTGTCACTAGAACTTTTTCTACCTTAAGTTTAGCGAGAACTTTCTGTTGTTATTTAAAACATTACGTGAACATATCATATTTTGCTTAAGCTTTTCCCTCTTTTTGGAGATGTTGAGTGTTTTACCACTATATATACACTGTAATATCCCCAAATTGAATTCGGAAGACTGCTTTTTAAGGATATTTGAAACTCAAAACCAAGTATGAAGCCACACTTTTGTAGACTTGTTCACACACGCTCATATGAGCTGAGATAGCCAAGGGAGTCCTTTCGTCCTGGACAGCAGTTGGGAAAGATTAAGAGAGGGAAGTAGGTAAAAATTACTGATTTTTGTCCCTGCAATTGAGGCTCATGAGCGCTTTAAAAGCTCTCCTGGATACAAGAAGCTGTGCCAGTGCATTTCAGCAGCCAGATTTCTTTTTCTTGCTGTTAACCAGGGAGAGTTGTTTTTTAAAGCCGTTCCAAGCAGTTATGTTGATGTGGACAGCAAAACTTTCCCTGATTTAAAAAAGGAATTGTATTTCCTGTAGAGGCTTCTAAAAAGATGTGAGATTTCTAGACACCAAGAATCCTATGGGGCTCATTGAAATGTGTTAGAGAGAAGATTACTCTCAAGTCATCAGATGAAGCTCACAGAGACCAAAAAACATCCCCCACTCTGATGCTTTGTTGGTCAAACTCCTCGCCTAGCTTAGGCTCCTCTGCTTCCCATGTTCCCATCCAAACTCAACATGTCCAGCTACTACATTTTATGCCCCTGGGAGGCAGGATACAGCTTCACGTTCTGAATGATCCACTTGGATCCTTACTGGTGATTCCAATCATACATTCAAATGTACTCAGTCATTTTTTTTTTCTCAAAAACTGTCCCTTCAGCATTGTTCCTGACCTCTGGAAACAGGACCAGCCTGACATGATAGAAATATCAGGACGGGGCCAGATGTCTAAAGGATGCCTGTCTCTTATCCCTGCAAATATAGCAAGTTGAAGGAAATATACTTATCAGAATTCTGCTGTTTGGCAATACCGTGTGTAGTTAGAAGAAATGGATGGACATTGGTGACTGGTCAGAAAGACCTCCTAAGATATTCTAGAATTCTAAAACATTAGAAGGTTGCAAAGTTTCCTCCTCTCGGAGGTACTGGAGTCATTGCAGAGTTCTTGTTTTGCTGAGTCAAATATGTGGAAAACTAGGACCAGAACCAAATTGCTGTGGGAAGCAGAGGAGGGCAGGCCACCACACCTACAAGCTATCTCCTCTCTTCCACTGCCTTTAGCCTCTCTCCTGAACAAGTAGTGAATAAATAATTGAAAGATCTTTTGAGATCTTAACCTCAAGCCCTTCAGGACCAAGCACTTATTTAACAAGGCTAGATGTAACAAGTATCATTGAGTCTATGAAAAATAAGAGCCAAAGCGATTTACTGTGTAACAAAGTCATCTTACTCCAAAAATTTATTATAGCCTCGTATTGGTTCATTTTCCGTTGAACTAACAGCATACCCAAGACCAGGTAATTTCCAGATATAAAGGGAAGAAGTTTGTCTCACTCATGACCCGGAGGCTGGAAATGAACATTCAGGTGGTAGCATCTGAAAGGACCTTGGGTGCCGACACAGCATCATAGACAAGGGAGAGGGCGTGTGTGAAGGAAGTAAAATGGAAACAGCATCCTAGTTTTAAAACAACCTATGAGAAAGGCAATGATTCCCCACCCCCACCCCCCATCCCGCATCAAACGAATCACCTCTTAAAGGCTCCACATCCTAACACCACCACAGTGGCAACCAAATTTCAGTGCAAGTGTCACAGATGAAAAATAATTCTCAAAGCACTAGATTGTGTCAGCCAAACAGCAAAGAGTGAATGTGTGTGCTACACTCAGCTAGCAGGCTGAAGGTCAGAAATTGGGTTATCCTTTGGCAAGTACATGATTTAAACATCTTACTGAAGGTGCCTGCAGAACCAGGCCAGGCTGTATCAGAACACACTCAGTGCTTCCCATTGTGAAGGTTAGAACCATTTTAGCTGGGACTGAAAAATCCCATCCTTGAAGCTGGAAGGAGGAAAACATGAGGCTGAATTATTTAGAGTGGTGGCTGAATCTGCTAGCTGCAGGC